CATGCTGGCTACATGACCACCAGAACAGTCCTCAGGGAACTCTGGCTCTTCAGCTTAGAAATGGAGATGAGTACCATGCCCTACAGTTGGTTGCGACTAGACATTCATGTCAAGGGACTACTTTTACCTTTAATAAAATAATAGAGCAATCTAAAATGATAGAGCAATAGACCAGCCTATCACCAACTTTAACCTGGATACTGAAGTTATCTTAATTATAGTAGGAAAGTAATTATTTGATAAATTACTTCTCAAAGGAAGCAGTGAGTAATTTTTTTGCACTGCAAGAAAGCTTTTGAAAACTGAAGCTCTTTGAAGACTATTAACAATTTGTGACTTAGGGCCTTTACAGACTGCCAGAAATAATGCAGCTTGAGGCCACTTTAACTGCTCTGTCCCAATGTTAGGGGATCATGGGAACTGTAGTTTATTGTGGCAACAGAACTCTCTGACAGAGAAGGTTCAATTTCTCAGAAAAAACTACAGTTCCCATGATTCACTAGCATTGAGCCAGGGCAGTTAAAGTGGTCTCAAGCTGCATAATTTCTGGAAGTCTGTAAAGGCCCTTATTCTGTGCAAAATTTACACACACACAGTCTCTCTCTCTCTCTTTCTCTCTTTGTGGGGGAGGAGCATAGAAAACACTGTGTACAAATTCTGCACAGAAACAATCCCAAACTGTGAAAATTGTCATCAGTGCAGGATTCTTCTTGTTCTAGTGATGGAGACACAGGCTGAAATCCTGTATGAAATTTACATATGCTAAAATATCTAGAAAAGCATTGGGGAAAATCCATGGTAATCACATATTAAATTTAGGAGAAAAGTCAAAAAGTGAAAAATAAGTAGTGAAATTAAAGTTATTAGTAGTTATAGATAGTTATCTTAATGTGTTTATGCCCCAAAACAATTAAGAAATCATAAAAATTAAAAATAAGCCAACAAGAAGAATAATAGAGACTAAACAAGGTAAACAGACTCATAGCAAAATAATGAAAATTGATAATATCTACTGAAAATAGGTACAAAGATCTTAAAGAAACCATTTATTAAGAAAGCTATAAAAGGGAAGTAAGGAAAGAAATAGGTCAGAATATAATGATGAAATGATTAAAACTATTAGGGATCAAAATACAGTAACACATAAGGCACAAAGAATTAAGGAGCAACAAATCTAGAATGTACAAGTTTCTATGGAAAAATTATCAAAAAATGGGAGAAAAGTTACAAAGATGATGTAAATATAGAGAAAAGGAGATCAAACACTTACAAATATCAATCCAGTGAGGATCGGAAGGAAGAAGGAAGTTTAAAATAAGGGAATGAATGTAGGATAAGAGGAATGAGAGGGAAGGAAGTAAATAAAGGGAGAAAGTAAGTTGTAGATGGTATGTGTATGTTGGAGAAGGAGG